TACATCATATTATTATTAGTATAAACTTTTAAAATTTATATTAATAATTTCATTTTTATTAAAAAAAATTATGTTAACTAACACAATCCTAATACTTCACATTTTTTATCAATAAATGGTTTTTTTAGTGAGGATGCATACGATAGTCTGGTATAGACGATAACCACTAAACTTCTGTGCGTCATTATGCCCAACATGTTTTAACAAAATAAAAAACATTTGATAATCAACACTAAATTGGTTTCCCCTAACATTGATATCCTTCTCACCTTGAGAGTTCTCATGTATCTTCGTAACAAATTACACACATGATCAGAAACTTCAAGAGCGGGAAAGTTACACTAGATTATGCTTCCAAAACCTTTGGACTTTTCTCCTCTAAACATTGATATCATATGCTATGCCCTATACTACTTCTTCATTTTTCTCCACAATCCTCACCCCTTTTGCAGATCTGAGCACATTGGCCTGTTTGAAAATGTCCACAAATTAAAACACGTTACACAAATAAACGAAAACATTAAAGATGCCACATGTGTAAGTATTATATGAAACAGAAACGAAAAGAAAAAAATGAAAGAAAGAGAAAGATGGGAATCATATAATGTAGAAGAAAAATTGAGGGGCTGTGATATATATATATATATATACTTGATCCTCGGTGATTTCCACTACAAACCCATCAACAATGACCAAAGAAGATGTCTTCTTGTAGCTCCCTGGCTCTAGGGTGCTTGCTAACAACTCATCATGCTTTCTACTAAGGTACAAATCAAGCTCATGTGCCCCTCCCTTGGTTCTAAGCAAGAACAAAACCATATATTAAAATGAATGCTATGTAAGAAAATGGTTTAATTAAACCAGATATTCTCTCTAGTATAAAAAAAGCAAATTAATTAAGGAGAAATGAGAACAGACCGATCAGCTCGAAGTCGCTCGTATTCAGGATCATAGCTCATGAAGACAAAGTGGGACTCACCTTGTGTGCTACCCTGCCTACCCATCAAGAATTTCTCTCTTATCTTTGTTGTTAATTTGAGTGGAATGATATATTCGCAATGACAGTCTTCTGCTCCACTAGCTCGCTATTTATACTACTGAAGGCTGAATGTCTTTCCAAACAGCAACAATAATAGAGAAAAACAAAAGAGGCCCACGTTGGTTTTAATTTAACGTAAGGGCTAAGGCCTAAGAAGTAACTTTTTCCATTTCACAAAAGTTTTTAGAATATTTATTTTATTATTTTGTATTTTCTTTTTAATGCCTTTTTACACTAAAGAACTAAAATAAATGTCATGCTAAATAAAAAATTAATAAGAGGTTTTTAAACTATTAAAAATTTAAATATTTAATTTCTACAATTTCAAGAAATAATTAGAAATTATAATTGTTTCCTTCATTTGTAATTGAGTAATAGAAGCCAGACTCTGATTCTGGTGGTGCCCTTTAAAGCTAGAGAAAAGTAATTTACTCTTTAACACCTCCACGATGATTAATGAAGCACCATCGTTCACACTTGGGTCATAACTTGCACATGTACAGTGTATTGGCAAACGACAAAAGAAAAGCACCTAACGCGTTGGTGCATGAAAGTCAAAACTTGGGTTTTTATTTTATTTTAGTGGATGCGTAGTTTAATTTATTTTGAAATAATTATAATTTGTTTTGTTAATACATTTTATATACTTTTAAAAAATAAATAACTATTTCTTTAAATTCAAACTGAATTAGATATGATACTGCATCTTTTTCTTAATCACATTATTTAAAATATTTATCATTTTTTTTTCCTTTTTTACTTATCCTTTCTCATGTCAAGATGTATACAGCCTTGCATAATGAAATGATAAATTTTCTATTGACAATTAATAATGAGGTTACTCAACATGATAATTTTTTATAGTAAATTTGCTTTACTGATTTAACCTGTATTATTTTCTTTTAAAAAAGTATCACTTTACCACTTTCTTATTTTTATTCATTTTAAGTAAATGTTTTAATTTTATTTTTTTTATGGTTTAATTTGAATCTAATCTGGATTGTACATCTAGATGTGGTAGGCGAATCTACCACTAGAGATTTTATACATGTATAAAAACTCAAACCTAAGATCTTACTTAAATAATAACAAGTCGTTTGCCACTTAAACTAATATCTGTTGATAATTTTCTTCTCATACTTTAAAAATGTCTCATTTACATTAACAATTTTTTTAAAAGGTTTAGTTGTATATTTTTATTTTAAAATAACTCCAATCTACTTTACTTTTTTCTTCTTTTATAAATATTTATTACAAAATTATCCAAATTAAACATAAATATGATTAATTCACTTTAAAAAAAACATGCATAATACATAATGTGTATTTTACTTGCAAATCTGTCTTTAATTATAACTCTTTTCATATCATTTTCAATGTCTTTCATCTATTTTAGTTTATCTTAAAATATTTATCACTTTAAATAACTAACAAAGTATTAGCTAATTTTTAAAATAATACTCATAACTATTGTTATTTACTTAAATATTCAAGAAATTTCACAACAATATAAATAATTTCAAATTGAGGGATTAATGTTTGTCTTTAAGTTTAGTACCACTCTTTCTCCCTGATGGTGGGACGCGGGAATTGCAGGATTCTGTCCCAAAAATTACATGGCACGTAACTCACAAAAGAATATTTGAAAGTTACTCTCGCTTAGGTGAATTTGGCACACGACTTCCTTGTCCACTACCTTCATAGCGTAGAAGGAGGTGAGGTCATCGTAGAAGTCCTCCATGGCAAAGTCACGAGGCGGTAGAGGTAGACTGTACCAATATTGTCAACCCCGATGCGAGGAGGAGGTGAAAGTTGTAGAAGATGAGGCTAAACTTGCAGTAGAAGTTGCTGAGCAAATGGTGGAGTAGGGGAAGCAAGAGGAGTGGTGGGGCTTAATGGAGAGGCTTTTTGATGAAGAGGAAGAAAGGAGACATGACTGAAGTGGAATTCACATGCTCCGAGCTCACTACATATTCATAGAAATAAAGAAGAATTGTAGCTGAGAAGGAGTTATGCAACTGCATCGTCACTTAAACAGAAAAAGTAATGGGTCATATTCGCTTAAGTTAAAATTGCTTGCAAATGTTTCTCTATCTACCGTGAATTACGTAGCTAAAATTGATTTCTTGTCTTAATATTTTTATGTTTAACAAAAGGATACTGCATAAGATTTTTCCAAACAGCTTTCTTTTTATAATTTCACTCTCAACAACTTTTTTTGCTATTAACTCTCAATAACTTGATGTAACACAGTACCAGAAATCTCAATTTCTTTTTTCATCAATAATAAGCCTGAAGCCCAACCAATATGAAAGAGATGATTTGGGCCTAACATATCATGTTGACAAATATTTTAGCCCATTCTGAAACTGAACAATATTGGCATGGCTGCACGAATATGGCATTCAAAATTCTAAATCTCTCTTCAGACCCCAAAAAAAAAAAAAAAAAAAAAGACGATTCTAAATTTCTGTGTTAGTTGGACATGCCTGAGAAGATTACCTTATTTAGGATTCTAAATACGTGTATAAATAACTTAGTAGTCTCTACACGTATTATATATATATATATTTAAAGGTTACCAGTATATCCTCTGACAAAGATAACAAGAGAAGCCTTAATCCAACAGGAGATGATGACTATAGCTACTTTGACAACGAAGATAATTGCTATGAAATCTTTCTGTAACAAGATTAGACAAAAGCAAAAGGAGATTTGACAAAAAAAAAAAAAATTGACAAAAGAAGAAGAAGACTTGACAAAAAAAAAAGATTTGACAAAAACGAAAGGAGATTTGACAAAAATAAAAAAAATGACAAAAGAATAATTTATTATCAAAAGAAATCTTAGAATAGGAGTTTTTTATTCTATAAATTGTAAGCTCTACCTCATTTGAAGACACGAGCAAATTACCAACCTCAATAGTTTTAAGAAAAATCTCTTAAAAATTTTCATTGTAAGATTTCAATTTCTTTGAAAGATTGTACAAGAAGTCTCACCATACTTTTAAGTTTTATCAAGTTTTCAATATATTTTAAGTTTTATCATCATCATGTTTAAGTTTTTGCTCTTAAATCGAAACTATATATATATATATTATAAAATAAATGTATTTAAATTTAAATTTAAAAAAATATTTTAACTTAACTTTGTAACCAGCACTAATCAAAATAATAATTTCAAAATATATTTATTTTAAATTTATTAAATATTATAAGTTTTATATAAACAAATATTTTCTAAAAAAAATTTAAAATTTTATATAAAATAATAAAAGAATGTAACAATTTTTATCTTCAAATTTTAGAATAGATTAACAAAAATAAAAATTATTACAGAGAAAGAGAGTGTAACGTACATATTATATTTAGTTTTTTATGTAATAATTAATATATAAATATATTCTTAGTTTTTTATTTAATAAAATTTAACATGTTAATTTAAGCTTTTATAAGTTTAAATTTGTTAAAACATGCCTAAAATATGTGGTACTATTTTTGTATTTTCGTTTGAAAAAAAATAATTTGCTTAAGTAAAAATGAAAAAATACGGAATGAGAGTAATGTTACGAGAGTTATGTTCGCGCAAAAAAGTGAGAGGATCCCGATCTCTTAAAAAGCTAACGAATCTGTCGCCGTTTGAACTAAAGAAAGAGCTCGAAACTAAGTAGCTAACACACACACACACACTCTAACCATAATCAAGATAATTAAACTACATTTACACTACACTCTTCATCACTCACGTGCCGCGTGGTAACCAGAAAAACAAAAACATTACAACCTTTTATTCTGCTACACTTAGTAATGAAGAAGAGTAACTAACATGCTTCGTTTTATTCGCAAACCAAATCAGGATCAAAGGCCGAGGAAAACCCTTCCAAACAGGAAATCTCGTTCACCCAATCATCACAGAAGATTGTCGGCAACGAAGATGAAGAAAAAGACTCTATCTTTGGCAATTACAGCTTCTGGGTAGCGCGAGTCTTGGACTTGTCCCTCTTCATCGTTTGACACATGGCTTGAATTTTAGCATCCACTGAGCTCTTCAAAGCACTCAAACTCGTGGATTCATCTCCAAATCCATGAGGGAAATTTAAACGCGCGTATTCACCTCGGAGTTTATAAGCGGCACGATCGTACGCATAAGCTGCAGCTTCAGGAGTGTCGTGAGTGCCCAACCACACCCTCATTCTGTTCTGAGGAACTCTAATCTCTGCCACCCATTTTCCCCACTGTCTCTGTCTCACTCCCCTGTACCCTTTTTTCGAGGAATTGGGAACTAAAGAACCATTCAACTTGCTTTCTTCATACAACTTTTCTAGAATATCTCTTTGGCGGTGGTACACTGAACACCCGAAAGAGCCTGAAGGCATAGAACTGCTGGTAACAGTAGTAGTGGAATTTGATGGGGGGTAATGAGAGAAAGTGGAGTGGAGAGTGTTTGATCCGTTCATGTCTGATAATAATAAACATGACCCGTTATCAACACCAGCATGTTCTGCGTTTCTTTCTTGCGTTGCTTCCGTTGTTTCATCGACTTGAGAGGTGATTTTTTCTCCCAAGGAAGAGCAAAGGATGAATGATATGTAGAATGAAGGAAGAGTAGAGGTTACTCTTGCTTAAGAGCAACAGAACAAGATAGTTATTAGTTGAAGAAACATGAAGAGAGCACGAGATAGAAGAAGCATCGGAAGAAGAAAATAATGTGTTGTTAGTTTAAGAGAGCCATGACGCAATGTTCGACGGGAACCATGAGTGAGCCTCACTCTCTGCTTCTCTCGCCCATTGGGCGATGGATGCTCACCATCATCGACGTAATGCTTGTGAATGGAGGAGAGACAAAAGGTGTCAACGAAGGCGGAGTTGTGGTCTTGTGGAGATAGGGGCCCTCGACTCATGAGTTATATGTTATAGGTTTTATGAATGACCTAATGCAATTGAATTTTAAATGAGAAAAAAATTATGAATTCTAAACCGAAGAGGGCTCGACCATGTCATAAGTGAAAAATATTAAAATTAGATTAATTGAAGTTAAGTATATAACATGGCCAGGTTAGGGTTTGGGTGATTGGATTTCCATTTTTATAACTGAAAACCAAGAAATGAATATCTATATCCATTTATACTCTTACTGTAGACTGTCCGCTCATGAATAAACTTGAGGTCCCCCAATTTTTTCAAAAATAAAAAACATTATGCTCTAAAAGAAATATCAAATATTTAAAATGTTAAGATAGCAAAGTATTTATAAATTGGTTAAATTTTACTTTCAACAAGGAAAAGGGGGAGCGAACTTTAAATTATAGTTGTTGGATGATATCTTTTGAATATTAAAATAGAATGATAAAAAAAAACTCCACACATATAAGATAAATAATAAAAATAATTAATATATAACGTTGCGTAGGATTTGGACTTTTGAGGTTTAAATGATGGAACCGATAATTAATGGGACTGGAGAAAATAATGGTTTAGAGCTTTTTAGGTGTCGAAAACCACTGAGAAAAGGAGGTACATATAGCTTATAAGGCCTTGGACCAATGACCTCACAAAATCTCTTCGTACCGATTACCTCTGCGGTCATGTGTTTTACTTTTCTAGGTGCCAGCAAAAGGCAATTACGTGGTTATGACAAACCTGCATTGATATAGAAACAAAATATATGGTGAAACAGAAAACATGCATTCATTGTTATAGATAGGACCTCATCCTCCATCAACACTTAATTTTTAGGGAAAGAGAAAACGTAAATCTTTGAACATTTTAGATGTACGTATATTATTATGGTATTAAAAATAGTACTGCATGCGATGCAGTTCTCTTTCTTTAACTCCTGCACTGTATCCATATCCATGTGATTAGCTCACAGCGATTGATTAGTGTATTAACTCTAAGGACGTGATCATATGTGTACCGTTGATTCTACTTTTTAGTGTTCAGAATCTGACGATGTCTCTGGTGAATTAATGATGGAGGTGTTTTAATAACATAGTAAACACTTGTACTCCTGATTGGTTTTTAATAATTAAATACAAAGAAAATGATGAAAAAATAAATAAATATTTTAGTTTTTTTATTACGGGAGAACTATAAGAAATATCTTTTTCTTAAAAAATGAGTATTATAATACAATCTTAATATCTGTTTTTAATTTATTATATATTTTAGGATATTTGATCAGGTAATATAAATATTATTCTAATATTATAAGATCCGATCACTTAATCAAACACAATAGGGTCGGAAATATTTTAAATCCTACAAAATATTAAAATTTAGTCTTTGTCTCTTTAAAAATTTTGATCTAAAATTAGTTTGGTTAATAATACGATTTTAAAACTGGTTCTTGTAGGGTAATTTTTGTTATTTTTTAAGAGCTGGCACAAAGATGCTCCTTTAGAACAATGTCCATGTGTCTTAATTATTAATTTCAAGTGACAGGATTGATAGAAGAATTCTACCTTTTTTTCAATTCTTATTTTTGTCCATTGGGCATGTTGATGGGCCGTGAGAAATGCTTATGTGATACTGGGCACTGCTGGGCTTATCCCCACTAGGTCATAGATTTTGAAAATAAAATATGTAGCCACTGGGCATGTTCATGAGTTACATTCTTTATTATACTGTTGTCGCTGTAATGGACCGTTATTGTATATATATATATATATAAAAGCTTATTAAGAGCATAATGGCCATGTTTTAGTTGCATAAACTCGTGGTTATATTGTTCTTCATCTTTTATTTTTTTTTAAAGTAGCCTCTTAATATTTTTCTCAAATTTTATTTAAACAGATTTCAATATATTGTCATGAACTAACGTCTTAGACGAGCGTTACCTTGTTTATGATTCCAACTCTCTTCGGACTGACTTTACCATAACGTTTTCAAATGTTCTGAACATCAAACCACATTTTTTTTAAAATCGGACTAAATTTAACTCAATTTTATACTTTAATGATTGAATTAACAGTACAATGAGCATTTCAGTGTTAAATTCTATTTATCTTGGGTTTTAAATCAGTGACACAAAGAAAGAATGTCTCCTCTACTATTCATGTTTTTTTTTTTATTTGTATAAATCATAATTTTTTCTGTCCTTAAAATGCATTGAATTGATATATCTAATCAAACTCACTCAACCATACCAAACGAATGGCACAATCCATTTAGATACCCTTATCTGTACTCCTTTCAATTGTATCCACATTTTTATACCAGATAGGCGTCACGTTTGTTATTCTTATTACTATTATTAAACTACGTATTAAATTTAGTAAAACTAATACTTTTTTAAATAATAAATATTTTATTATATTAAGCAAAATTAAGTTAAAGAATACATCTTTTAAAAAAATATATAAAAAGATTAAAATGTAAAATTAAAATTGGATTACAAAAATATTTGTTTAACACAGAAAAGATACACAGTTCAATAAAAAGTAAACAATTCCTAAAGATATTATCATTTAAAACACTTTTTAAAAATGCTATAATTTAAAAATTAAGAGTCACATTTTATTAAATTTATTCTCGTATTATTGAATGATATAATATAGTTGTGTCAGACAAATTCTCAAATTTAATTAATAAATTTTAAAATTAATCATGATAAATCCATTAATAACTGTATTTATTTATTTAACAGTCATATGATGGTGTTTAGTAAGACCAAGAAGTTCAAATTTTATTTTATATATAGAGAGAGATATATAATACACATTTTTTTTGTCAAAAGTAAAATCCGTTGACCCAATATTTTGGTAATGTAATATTATTAAGATGATGATAAATGGTTATAAAACTTCTAATCAAATATTTTCACAATTTTAATATAATCAATGTTTGAGACCTTTTCACTGGTATTAATTTGTTTTAAAAAAATACCATTATGTATGTACAAGATTGCTATATTTTACATTTTTATATTAATAAAATACTATTTTTACATAAGACATGTTAATTTGAGAAATTGTAATAATTTCAAAATTTTAAATTTAATAAAAGTAGTGAGAAAAACCTAAGTCTTCTCCGTAAATAAAAAATTATTTATAATTTGTATTTATAAAATAATTAAATTTGTATGCATAAATAATTCATAAACGTATTTAAAAAATTACATAAATAAACGTGAATTAAAAATTTACTGAATAATTATGCACTTATTAATCATCCACCATTCTTAAATATATATATATATATATATATATTATTGAAAAAAATATTTAACATAACACATAAACCATTTAGAAAAACTTAATGATACTTTGATACAAAAAATTGGAAAAATTTTATGCAATGAAATTAATGAAAGGATTTTGGGGGTGATGAGTAGTTAGAGTAGCAACGTGTCTGGTGTATGAACATGTAGCATGGGGTGGGGAATGAAGGAGCACGTGCACAGCGAGGAAGTGAGGTCGAAGCATCACGTGGAGGGTCCCACAGGACAATGGCAGGAGCGCACGAGCACTCACATGACGATGTGGTAAGTGCCTGTCCATGATAGGCCCACGATTATCACCTCCCCTTAAATGGCGCCCACGAAATCATCGTTCATCACGATCACTCCCCCCGTTTGGCCCCACATTTTTAACGCTAATTGCGGATTAACTGACGGCTACGATTCGCCAACATGATGAGACATTCTTATCGTATTCTCCTGCCACTGCTTATTTTGTCGTATTCTTCTAAGCGTAACATTTTACGGTTACAAATCCGCCGACGGAATCCCATTTTATCCACCCACTGAGACGGATAAAAAATCTATTTTATTTCTAAATAAACTACTTTAAAATAATCAATCAACCAGAATTAATTTGAGTAATACATATTTAATTTTCTTAAAAATTACAAAATTAGTTTACCTCGAATTTCAGAAATTTTTGAAACCAGTGAGGTTTTCACTGCGCAGTTGTCGAATGTGTATACTGGCTGGTTTTTAAAACGTTACTGTAAATTTCACAATTTAAAATAAAGTCTTTTTTTTTTCTATTTCACAACATAATCGTACAAAAAACCGATATTTGTATTTTAGTCATTAATAAAGTTTCTACAAATAAATATGCCAATTTAAAACTCTAGAGCTGATAAATTCACTGAAATCCGTTTAATGGAAGGGAAATGGTGCTTTGTTTGATTATCTATATAAGGTGCACTTTGTTTTCGGTGCTTGGCTTTGATTGGTTATGGAAGGGATGTGTTAGGTTGTTATGATGAAATAGATTCGTTGATGATGAGATATGTTGGAAGCAGCAGATGTTGTACACGATAATACTTCTAGACTCTAGTTTGTTTTGTTGTTAGCTTACCCTCAACCCAAATTCCTTCTCCTTTTCCATTGCTGCTTTAATTCTTACAAAGTCCCTTTTATACATAATTGGGTTCCACTTCGTCAATTCCCATTGCCTTGCCTGTTTTGCAAACTCAGTCGCTGAAATTGATTGTGTGATAGCAATATGTATGGATACATAGTTTAATTAAGTATTTATTTATTAATTTATAAATTGTTTATAGAGAGTTGGTAATGAATTATAACCCTTACCGCAAATGTGTGTGTGATTTTAATAATATTTTTTATGAATATTATTTCATATTTTTTTGCAATTTATGCCGAGATCACAATATGTGTGATGAGAGAATTCAAAAATTGATTAAGCTAATAAATCATCAAAGTATTTCACCATATAATACTTCAAACAAATGATTGAAAAAATTGATTTGAAAATACTTCTTTCAATAAATTATAATTTGTTCTTTGATTTAATAGCTTATTTCATGCAATAGAGGTTTGATAGATCCATGCATGAATTTGGCAGATAATACAATCAAAGAAAAATCAAAGCATGGCAGAGCCCTTTAGTAAAGAAGCTTTGATATCTTGTTAAAAAGGCATCCAGCAAAT